AAGAATGGGCACGGTGGTTCACACCTGTAATCCCAGTATTTTGGGAGGCTGAGGAGGGTGGATTGCTAGAGGTCAGGAGTTTGAGAGCATCCTGACTAACATGGAGAAACCCCATCTCTACTAAAAATACAAAATTAGCCCAGTGTGGGCACATGTCTGTAATCCCAGCTACTGGGGAGGCCAAAGCAGGAGAATCGTTTGAACCCGGGAGGTGGATGTTGTGGTGAGCCGAGATTGTGCCATTGCACTACAGCCTGGGAAACGAGTGAAATGCCATCTCAAAAAAAAAAAAAAAGCATAGTAGCTTTAACTTAATTTAGGGCTCCTGGAACCCAGACTCATCAGGTAAAAAGTGTGAATACCCTGCTGAGAGATCACACAGAAAGCCCTGACACTACACACAGAGGAAAAGAGCCAGCTGAGCCCCGCCTTTAAGCAGTCTTTGACGAGGCATGTGAATGACGGAAGCATTGTGGAAGTGGATCCTCCAGCACTGGCCACCTCTGCTGACAGCATGTGGACCAGAGAAAAATGGTCCAGGTGAACACTTTCAAATTCTCCTAATAAAACTGTCAACAAACAAAATTATTCTATGAAGCCAGTAAGTTTTGGGGTGGTTTGTTATGTATTGGTGGATAACTGAAACAGAGCTCAGATTTTATTTTCTAGCCAATGGGAGGCAATGCAATGACAGCTGTGCTTTAGAAAAATCAACCTGGCTGCAACATGTAAGATGGCCTGTAGGAGACAACTAGTGCCAGGAAACCCAGGAAACGAGAGCCAACAGAACCTAGGGGGAGGAATAAAAATAAAAGACACTGACTGCAGAGTTAGAGTCAATGAGATTTGTGTATGTAATTGACCATCAGGGCAAGAAGAAAGGAATCAAAGTTGACCTAGATGCAGAGATCAGGTGACCACCAGACGGTGATGCTATTAAGGATGAACAAAGCAGATGATGAGTTCAGAGAAAAAAAATAAAAACTGTGTTAACTTTAACATGTGGACAAAATAAGGTAAAATAACATCCATGATTATGGATATAATTATGCAAACAATTAGTCTAGAGTTTAAAAGCTCTAAGAAACCTATTATCAGTGTATTTTCACAATAGTAAAGATTTTAAATCAAAAATTAAATTCATAATCTTCAGTGGGCAGGCTAAATAGTTTAACATAAAACTTCAAGATTTTCCTCAACTGTCCATTGAAAATTGGTTTAGAAACTAGGACAGATAAGTACATCCTCATGTGTGGAGGGTAAAATCAATTTTTCAACGATCATTTTAGAACTGAATCTTCTGTGACCAAAGGACCTGCTTCTGCTTCTAGCTCAAGTACTGCCTTACAGGCTCCATCCCTTGACACATTTTCATATAGCATAATTTCTTTTAAACCACAAATCCCACCATGGTGGAACCGAAATCCTTACCATGGCCTACAAAACGCTACCATAAGGGACCCTGCTGACGTAGCTGACCTTACCTCATACCTTCCTTCCCCTCAGCCCCTGCATTCACTATTCAGTAGTAACAATGGTTTAGCTCCTAGAACATATCACGGCATGCTCCTTCCTTCCAGTTCAGGCTCTTCCCTAGCTGAACTACTCTTCTTGGACCAAATTAACTCGATTCATCATTGGGTTCTTTGCTTTCTCCTCAGAGAAAAATTGTTCCTGACTATTCCCTAGATGTTCCTTCCCTAGTTCAATCATATAACGTACCTCATTTTTTCAGAGTACTAACAACAATTTCATATACTTCTTTAGGTAACTATGTGCAATTGTGGTCTCCTCTGCTAAAACTTAAGTTCCAAAAAGGCAGAACCAAAGTGTTGCCTGATCCCAAAGCCCCAGGACATAGCACACTGGCTGGCACACAGTAGATGCTCTTCAACAAATGTAATTTCTGCATAAATAGCACTCACAGGTATTGCAGGATAATCAGTGGCAAAGAACTCTGGGTCCAAACTGAGTTCAAGTTCCATGCTGACCCTTACAAGTTTTAGAACTAGTTATTTTTCAGCACCTCAGTTTCTTTTTTTAAATTACTATTTTTGAGATGGAGTCTCACTCTGTTGCGAAGGCTGGATTGCAGTGGCGAGATCTCCGCTCACTGCAACCTCTGCCTCCCGGATTGAAGTGATTTTCCCCGCCTGCACCTCCAGGGTAGCTGGGATGACAGGCTCACACCACCAGGCCCGGCTAATTTTTAATTTTTGTATTTTTAGGAGAGGTGGGTTTCACCCTCTTGGCCAGGCTAGCATGGAACTCCCGACCTCAGGTGATCCACCTGCCTTGACCTCCCAAAGTGCTGGGATTAGAGGCGTGAGCCACTGTGCCTGGCCTTATTCATTTATTTTTTTTGAGACGGATCTCATCTGTCGTCACCCAGGCTGAAGAGCAGTGGCATGATCTCGGATCACTGCAACCTCCGCATCCCCTCCTGGATTCATGCTATTCTCCTACTTCGGCCTCCTGAGTAGCTGGGATTACAGGCATGTACCATCACACCTGGCTAATTGTGCATTTTTAGTAGAGACGGGCTTTCACCATGTCGGCCAAGATGGTCTTGAACTCCTGAGCTCAGGTCATCCACCTGCCTCGGCCTCCCAAAGTGCTGGGATGACAGGTGTGAGCCACCATGGCTATGTTCTATTATTTTTTAACAATAATGCAGATATAATGATGTCAGGTATGACAATGAATTATGTCTCTAAAGATTTAGAATATAGTAATGCCTAGAATTTTATAAACACATTAAATTGTAGCTCGTAACAGAGTTAGCAAACAGCAGCTCTCTCAACGACCCTATTCGTTAACTTTCAATCTGCCTCACCGATACCTAGCCCTTCTTTATCAGATTTCTCCACAGGGGATTCAGGGGTTCTCTTTTGTTACCTCCTGCTACTCTTATCAGGGTAAAAATCTAAAGCCTCTAATGAGGTTTACCGGCGGGTCCAAAATCCAGCCCAGACTCTCCAGACATTTCCTCAAATCCACTACCACTCCCCACATCCCAGGTGCAATAAATCATGAAATGCAAAACCCAAGGCAAAGCCAGGCCATTTCTTAGTCTTCTTCCTTAAGGCAAGCTGAGTAAATTGAGGTGTTTCATAAAATCTTCCCAGTCCTCTCTCCCTTTTCAGCGGGCAAAGAATGTTCTGGCAGAGCGTGGTGGCTCAAGCCCGTACTTCTCGCACTTTGAGAGGCTGAGTCACTTAAACCCACCAGTAGGGCAGCATAACGAGACTCCGTCTCCCCCTCACCCCCTCAAAAAATTAGTCGGGCACAGTGGCGCGTGCCAGTTGTCCCAGTTACTAGGAAGGCTGAAATTGGAGGATACCTGATCCCGGAAGGCAGATGTTGCAGTGAGCTGAGATGGCGCCACTGCACTCCAACCTGGACGAAAGAGCAAGACACTGTCTCAAAAAAAAAAAAAAAAGCAAAAAAAAAAAAAAAAGTTCTGGTCGAGCGCGGTGGCTGGCTCACACCCGTAATCCCAGCATTTTGGGAGGCTGAGCCGGAAGATCACTTGATTTTGAGACCCGCCTATGCCAACGTGGTTAAAACTCGTCTCTAGGAAAGGTACAAAAATTAGCCTGATGTGGTGGCGAGCGCCTGTAGTCCCAGCTACTAGGGAGGCTGAGGCAGAAGAATCGCTCGAACCCGGGAGACAGAGGTTGCAGTGAGCCGAGATCGCAACATTGCACTCCACCATGGGAGAAAAGAGCAAGACTCTGTCTCAAAAAAAAAAAAAGAAAAAATAATAGTAAAAGAAAAAGAAAACGAGAAAAAAGAATGTTCTCTCCGCATGATCAGAGTACCTAGGACAACTGCTACCTAGGCCCTTAGGAATTCACAGCCCTGGCGGATGTGTCAGAAATTTCTGTAACCCGCACGCCGCGCACGCGCCGGGATTGGTTGCAAGTAGCCCAAAGTCTTGGATCACCGTTCCACCGGGACGAGGGCCACCACGCCGCGGAAACAGCAGCCTCGCTTCCTGCCCAGCGCCCGGGCACCCGAGCCGGGCAACCCCCAGCACCCCACAGCAGGGTTTGACGCACTTGCGGTACCCTCGCCAGTGCCGAGTGACATTCACCAACTTTCGCGGAACAACACCCGCTCCAAATATGAGGGGATAAGTGGAAAACCGCCGCCTGCCGGGGCTGGGGCTCACAGGCACGGGCCGCCTCCCACCGCTCCTCCAGGCCGCGCTCGGGTGCACGGACACCGCCTCCGCGGCGGCCTCGGACCCCGGAGAGGAAAGCGCGGTCTCCCGGGCTGTCGCCCTCGCGCAGCGGTCCCGACGGGCTGGCCCGCGAAACTTCGCGAAGTGGCGGGAGGAGATCGCCCGGCCTCCCAGCGCCTTTGTCGCTCCCGCCTCGCCACTGCACGGAGCTCGGAGACGCCCAGCCAAGTCCCCGGGCCCGATCCTGCCCAGGCGTCGGCCCGCGCCCCTCAGCTCCGCGGCCCTCACGGCCCGCGCCCCCGCCCCCACCCCCGGGGCTCCACGGAGGCGCCCCGCAGAGAGGCCGCCTCGCTTCACAAACCTGCCCAGCAGCCCAAACGCGCCCGGGGCCGACACTCACTCGCCACTCAACTCCCCGGCTAGCCAGGCGGGCTCAGCGGCCTTCGCTGCCGTGCAGCTTACTCCTCAGAAGCGGCAGCTGTGAGCTCCGTCGCCGCCGCTGAGGCAGCCGCTGCACTCCTTCCGGCCCTGCCGCGGCGTCACCTCGCGCCTGCGCACAGCGCCCCCTCCCGACTAAGGACAGGAAGAACCATAGAGGCACGCCGGGTGCTGGGGAGGAGGGACCCGGGGGCTCACCATAGAGAGGGCCGCCTAGCCGCGCTAGCATCCGGGCTCTCCGCCTGCGGAGACTTGACTCCCCCACGAGGCGGGAGGACGAAAGGAACGGAGACCCCCATCCTCGACCCCACAGGGAGCCGCCATCTCCCCAGAGCTGAAAAGGGTATAGGGCACGTGGTTGTGGACTCGTTATCTACTTATTTGCCTTCATCCTTTGCAAGTCATTCATTCATTCTAAAAATGTATTCTGTGGAGTTTCTGTGGGCCACACGCTGTTCTAGGAATTGGGGAAATTAAGAGTAAAGTGAGTTCCATGGCCGGGCGCAGTGGCTCACACCTGTAATCCCAGAATTTGGGAGGCCGAGGCGGGCAGATCACTTGAGGTCAGGTGTTGGAGGCTAGCCTGGCCAACATGGTGAAACCCCATCGCTACCAAAAATAAAAAAATTAGCCGGGCGTGGTGGCGGGCTAATTCCAGCTACTCAGGAGGATGAGGCAGTAAAATCACTTGAACCTGGGAAGCGGAGGTTGTAGTGAACTGAGATTGCGCCACACTGCCCTCTAGCCTAGGCAACACAGCGATACTCCGTCTCAAAAAAAAAAAAAAAAAACAAAAACAACAACGAGTAAAATGTGTTCCTGGTCTCAGGAAGTTTAGGTTTTAGTGGGCAAGTGAATAACTGACTAAAATACTGATTCTGCTGGGCACAGCGGCTCGTGTCCATAATCCCAGAACTTTGGGAGGCCAAGGCAGGAGGATCTCTTGAGGCCAGAAGTTCAAGACCAGCCTTGGCAACATAGCAAGACCCTGACTCAAAAAAAATTGCTGGCCTGGCATGGTCGCTTGCTCAACACCTGTAATCCCAACACTTTGGGAGGTAGAGGTTGGGAGGATGGCTTGAAGCCAGGAGTTTCCGACCATCCTGGACAGTATAGTGAGACTCCATCTTTATAAAAATAAAAAAATTAGCTGGGCATGGTGGTGCACACCTGTAGTCCCAGCTACTCAGGAGGCTGAGGCGGGAGGATTGTTTGAGCCCAGGAGTCTGAGACTGCAGTGAGCTGTGATCACACCACTGCACTCCAGCCTGGGTGACAGAACAATAGCCTGTCTCAGAAGAAACAAACAAAAACCAAACAGTAACGGAAATGGGAGGAGCAATAGTCTTGATGCAGCAATGAGGATTCCTTCTCCAAGACAGTAGAGCGTGGCTTATGGGGCTTGTACGAGACAGAAAAAGGCCACTCCTGAGAGTACTTTGGAGAAGCAGTTCCTGAGGTAATAGTCATGTCCTAGGGTTAATAGTCATGTTTCAGTGAAGTAGAAATTGAAGGGCTGCGGCTGGGCATGGTGGCTCATGCCTGTAATCCCAGTACTTTGGGAGGCTGAGGCCGGCGGATCACCTGAGGTTGGGAGTTCGAGACCAGTCTGACCAACATGGAGGAAACCTCTTCTCTACTAAAAATACAAAATTAGCTGGGTGCTGGTGTGGGCTCCTGTAATCCCAGCTACTCAGGAGGCTGAGGCAGGAGAATCGCTTGCACCCATGAGTCAGAGGTTGCAGTGAGCCAAGATTGTGCCATTGCACTCTAGCTTAGGCAACAAGAGCAAAACTCCATCTCAGGGGAAAAAAAAAAAAAAAAGAAGTTGAAGGGCTGCTTACAGAACAGGACAAGGATCTAGGGATCTTACAGATGTCGGGCCCTGAATTAGAGGGTGTAGTGCACGGGATGCATTAAAGGGTGGATAGGAGAGAGAACTTAAGACAGACACCTTTCTGGGCATGAGATCCTGAAATAACCTGAAAAGTGAAACAAGGGGATTGGCCTTGATGGGCTTATCCTCCATGCTGGTCCTCTTAGGGGAGGTGGATAATCGCTGTCAGTTCCAGCCTCCTTCTTAGAGTAGTCCTCATAAGCCCTTTGAGATATTGGAAGAAGGCAGTATTGGAAGGAGAGCTTGGTGATCTTAGCAGGAGTGCAAGCTTCTTTCCGGAAAGAACCTTGGTGTCACATCCAAGGCAGGTATGGTTGAGTAACCACTCTGAGTAGAATTTTTTATTTGTTCAGGCTCTTTGGAGACTCTGACTCAGACATGACGGTAATGAGAAGAGAGACTTTATGTATGTATGTATGTATGTATATATGCATGTATTTATGTATTTATTTTTGAGATGAGGTCTCCTGTCACCCAGGCTGGAGTGCAGTGGCACGGCCTTAACTCACTGCAACCTCTGCTTCCCAGGTTCAAGCGATTCTCCTGGCTCAGCCTCCCGAGTAGCTGGGATTACAGGCGGCCACCACCACACCCAGCTAATTTGTAAAATATTTTTTGTAGACACGGAGTTTCACCATGTTGGCCAGGCTGGTCTCAAACTCCTGACCTCAGGCCACCCGCCTGCCTCGGCCCAAAGTGCTGGGATTACAGGTGTGAGCCACCATGCTTGGCCTTTATTTTGAAGTTTAATTTAAAAAATACTAATAGATAGCCGGGTGTGTTGACACACGCTTATAGTCTCAGATACTCTGGAGACTGAGGCAGGAGAATCACTTTAACCCAGGAAGTGGAGGTTGCAGTGAGCCACGATTACGCCACTGCACTCCAGCCAGGGTAACAGAGCAAGACTCCATATCAAAAAAAAAAAAAAAAAAATTAATAGAAACGGTAGCTCACACCCATAACCCCAGCACTTTGGGAGGCTGAGGTGGGAGAATCATGAGGTCAAGAGATCGAGATCATCCTGGCCAACATGGTGAATGCCCCGTCTCTACTAAAAATACAAAAATTAGCTGGGCATGGTGGCGGCGCGTACCTATAGTCCCAGCTGCTCCAGGCTGGGGCAGGAGAATCACTTGAACCCAGGAGGCGGAGTTTGCAGTGAGCTGAGATCGCACCACCACTGCACTCCAGCCTTGCAACAGAGATAGACTCCGTCTCAAAAAAAAAAAAAAAAAAAAAAAAAAGAAAGAAAGAAAGAAAGAGAGCCTTGCTCTGTTGCCCAGGCTGTTCTCAAACTCCTGGCTTCAAGAGGTCCTTCCATCTTGCCTTTGAACTGCCACAGCTGGCTGTGAATTTTTTATTTATAAAATGGGAATTTTAAGATACTATCTATTGCCCAGTGTTCTTGCAAGGATGAAATGGGATCTTGTATGAATGGAAAAGCTCTCATAGGAGCTGTTTACATGTTGTTGGTGTCTTAAGCATTTTCAGAGTCATAAAGACAATTATTCTATCTCTGCGTATCTCCCAGTGAAGGCAAGAGGAAGCCACTGCCTCCTTATAGGTTGCTGGAATCAATCTGGTTATTTTTGAAGGCTTTTTTTTTTTTTTTTTTGAGATGGAATTGCTCCTGTAGCCCAGGCTGGAGTGCAATGGCATGATCTTGGCTCACTGCAACCTCCACCTCCCAAGTTCAAGTGATTCTCGTGCCTCAGTCTCCCAAGTAGCTGGGATTACAGGCACCCGCCATTACATCCACCTATTTTTTTTGTATTTTTAGTAAAGACAGGGTTTCTAGTAGAGACTAGCCATGTTGGCCAGGCTAGTCTCGAACTCCTGACCTCAGGTGATCTGCCTGCCTTGGCTTCCCAAAGTGCTGGGATTATAGGAGTGAGCCACCGTGCCTGGCCTTGGTTTTTGTTTTATTTTGTTTGTTTGTTTTAGAGTTGGGGTCTCACTCTGTCACCCAAGCTAGAGTGCAGTGATGCAACCACAATTATAGTTCACTGCAGCCTTGACCTCCCAGGCTCAAGTGATCCTCCCACCCCAGCCTCCTGAGTAGCTGGGACTACAGGTGTGTGCCACCACACCTGGATAGTTGTTTAATTTGTTTGTATAGATGGGCTCTCGATATGTTGCTCAGGATGGTCTCAAACTCCTGGCCTCAAGCAATCCTCCTGCCTTGGCCTTCTAAAGTGTTGAGACTATAGACTTGAGCTACAGCACCTGGCCTGTTTTTTTTGTTTTTTGTTTTTTTGTCTTAATGTTAAATAGCACAAGGAATCAGAAAGGGCAAGATGTCTACCTGCAGACCAAACTATTGTCAACAAGTGATGTTTTGCTGTTTTCCTGGGAAGAAGCATGAAAGTTCTGTCTATGAAAATCCATATCATCCGTGCTGGCTGTAATTCCATGCAGTTATGGCCAAAGGCGTGAAACATGCACTCACCCCCGAGCCTGCCAGAGAGCCGAGGCTGGAACTCACACTTCCCTGTGAGTCATCACTGTGCTGCTTCATTTCATTTTCTGGCTACAGTTAGTTTAATGTGCATGTGACCTGTGAAACCATTTACGGTAGTGGAGGACCGCCATTGTTCACAATTTGCACATCATCATTTTGTTCGCAAGAGCTGTCATCAGCCTTATCTAGATGAAGGTGTGCTGGTCTTGTCATAGAGGAAATTATTCCTGAACTCACTCTGCTTTCAGAAGCAGTAATTTTCCTGCCATTTTGGCCCATTATCTGTTAAAAAAAAATCAGTGATATTCAGGTGCAATTTATATACGGTACAAGGCACCTAGTTTAAGTGTACCTTTTTCTCAGTTTTGACAAATTTATACACCCTCGTAACCACCCCACAATCAAGATAGAGATCATTTCCATCACCCCAGACTATTCCATAACCGCCATCCCTGGTGCTAGGCAACCACCCGCTTTTTGGCACTTTATTTATTTATTTATTTTGAGATGGAGTTTCATTCTGTCATCCAGGCTGGAGTGCAACAGTACAATCTTGGCTCACCACAACCTCTGTCTCCTGGGTTCAAGTGATTCTCCTGTCTCAGCCTTCTGAGTAGCTGGGATTACAGGAACCTGCCACCACGCCCAGTTAATTTTTTGTATTTTTATGTTATTTTATTTTTGTTACAAAGTCTCACTCTGTTGCTCAGGCTGGAGTGCAGTGGTGTGATCTTGGCTCATTGCAAACTCTGCCTTCCTGGGTTCAAGCGTTTCTCTTGCCTCACCCTCTCAGGTAGCTGGGATTACAGGCA